AGGATTCCTGGGCCGTTCTTCTCAAGTTGCCCTTCACCTTCACAAACTCGGGGGCGTTTTCTTGTTCCTCCTGGATCTTCTGCTTGTCAAGTTCGAGCTAGAAAGAAAAGAGATTTTTTTGGTTTTTTAAAAAAGATAAGGAAGGGATGGTGTTCTGATCCTGAACTAAGATGCTTTGCAATTCAAGATCAGACAGATGGCTCAATAAATATGATTGTAAAACAGATATTTATTCAGGTATACTTGCAGGTATTAGTAGTTTCTTCTGGATATTGCATATCTGTTCATCCTTATAGGTAAGAAATCAATAAGTCCTCCATATCAACTTCTAACGTGGAATGGGACCCTGTGTGTCCTGCGGTGGTCCCATGCTTATCTCAGACAAAGGCATTCCAAACTGGCACGTAGCCAGGATATCCTGTGATGAACTTAGTAGCTCCTCCTACTGACCTGTTAACATGGGATAGCTGACTAGCTAAACTACATTACCCATAAGCCATCTCTTAAGGAGACAGCGCTTAACCCTATAAATGCCAAACATTCTAACATACAGATCTATATGCTGTAGTCAGGGTTACATTGATCCAGCACAGATGGGAAATACTCTCAACGAACACCCTCGTACTTCTCAGAAGTTAAAAGTAAAAGCCCTGGAAAACACTGCTTAGAGAGCAACGTATGAAATGGAGGAGTTATTCACTTCTCCAATCTAACCCGGTTTCTCAAGGAGAAAAACTATTTCTGAACTCGCCTCTGTAGGAGAGTGGCTGACCATGTTACCTGCTGTGACCCTCATCCTAACAAAGCTTAAACCTACTGGAACTAACCCAACCTGCCTTCTATTATGTCTTCCCTTTGGGTTCTGAAAGAATTTAGAACTATTTTGAGGTCCCTAATTCAGGAGGTCCCTTCCGGAATCAAGATCAATACAAGCAGTCCTCGACTTATTACAAGTTCGTTTAGTGACAGTTCAAAATTAGAACAGCACTGAAAAAAGTGGCCGTTTTTCACACTTATGGCCGTTGCAGCATCCCCCCCATGGTCACGTGATCAAAATTCAAATGTTTGGAAACTGACTCCTATTTATGACGGTCGCAGCGTCCTGGGATCATATGATCCCCTTCTGACAAGCAATCCATGGGGAAGCCGGATTCTCTCAACAACTGTGTTACTAACTTAACAAGTGCAGTGATCCACTTAATACCTGTGGCAAGAAAGGTCATAAAATGGGGCAAAACTCACTTAACCAATGTCTTGCTTAGCAACGTGGGGCTGGAAGTCGAGGGCTACCTATAGATAAATATCTTCTTTTTCCCCCTCTTACTTGTTCCAATTTCTGTTGTCGCTTGAGAAGCTCTATTTCCAAGTCTGACTTCTTCTTCTGGGCCTCCTCTTCTTTCTGCTTGAAAACCTGGTCTCTTTTTCGTCTCTCCATGACTTTTTGAAGCTCTGGCTTGTTCTGAGGAGCGAGACCCCTTGGCAAGAGAAGGCAAAGACAAGAAGGTGAGCTAATATGTAGGTCACACGTTTGTCCCGATATTGCCAGAGAACAGAATTCATCCACGGAGAAGTTAGTTGTATAAATGCAATTGCTTCTATGTTTAATAATAATAATAATAATAATAATAATAATAATAATAATAATAATAATAATAATAATAATAATAATAATAATAATAATAATAATAATAATAAAAATAATAATAATAATAATAATAATAATAATAATAATAA